TATATATATATATATATATATATATATATATATATATAATTGTTCTTCAAAGTAATTTCAATTATTAAAAAGGAAGAAATAGAAATTAGAACCAAGTTCCTAAGTAACTATGAACTATGTATCAATTAAAATGTTAAAAAATTGCATTTTTTGGTATACAATTTTATATCTCTAAGGGAAATTTTATAAAAAAGTCATATTTTAAGTGCCTTACATTCAAGGCGTATCTTTAATTTGAAACTGTATATGCTATGTCTCTGAAAATAATTGCCTGAACTTAAAAACGGACAAATAATTTAAATATCTAAAAAATGAATTAAACTTTAAAGATGCAAGTAGTTAATATGTAGTAAAAACATTATAAAACTATTTTTCCACAAGAAAAATTAAAAACTTATTATTTACATACTCTTGATTTCATGCTTTGCATTTGGAGAAGACAACAATTATAGAACTACTAGTTTCTACTTCGTCTTTTAATTAAAACAAATTTATATCGCTCTAATTAAAGTAAGAAATAATTAATAATTATTGACAGATTGAAAAACTGAATGCGTGGTGTTGAAAAACAACGGATTATAGCCCTCAGAAATGAAGCTTCGAGCAGATAAACGTCATCTAATGTTATGCATCATCAAATGTTATACATCATCAAATGTTATACATCATCAAATGTTATACATCATCAAACGTTATTCATTATCATATGTTATACATCATCAAATGTACATCATCATAAATGTCTGGCAGATAAACATCATCAAAGCATTAAATGCGACTCTTCTTTAGCATGAGTATTTCAGTGTAAAATATTCCAACGATTTCTAAACATGAACGATTTCATTTTTCCATCTAATTCTGGTTGCATCCCGCTGGAAATTACAAATCCTACCCTTTAATTTACCAAAAAAAATTTCCTAACTTGAAATAAAATACGTTAGCGTAAAATTGTATTTTTAAATAAACTTGTTCACAGCATTTTGTCCGATATGACTTTCAAATAAACTGAAGAAGTTGTAGGCTCTTTAGAAATTTATGTAACATTCTTGTTTAAAATTCGCTCTGTGATAGAACACGCAAAAGAAATTTAGAGAATTCTGACGCAATTTTGCCCATAAAAACCAACTTAAATCATTATGTAAGAGTTTATTGTAGAGAAATAAATTGTGTTCCAAAAAATATCGATGACAACGTATCATGTATCTAGAAAATGCATTTTTTAAAATTAAATTTTATAAATTCTGGCAGACATAATAATCTGCGAAAACGGATAGTAAAATTAAAGTTAGGCAGATAAATTAATTAACAGAAGAAATAACTCTAAATAAAAAATATTATTTCATTTCATGACCATTGAAAACTATCAAATATCAACTGTAGCTTATTCTTATGAGTTATATCAAGTGCAGCTTATTCTTAATGATTGCATAAAAGATTCTCCATTTTGTATGATGGGTGGAAGATAATTACATCATCCCAAACGAAAAACTATCTTTGAAAAAAGACGTACTCAAATTATAGCATTAATTCTCATTAACAAAAAAGAATGTCTTATTTTATTGTCGTTAAGTTCTACTTTCTTTATTTAATTATTTCAATTACTCAGTTAGAGTTAAAGAAGATTAACATCAAACGCTTTTAGATAATTTGGTTACACTGCATCGAGGGAAAGTTTTTTTTAGCATTTTGAATTTCACTTGAAGTAATTTTTATAAATAAATAAACCAAAAAAAAATTTAAAAATTGAAAAAAAAAATGAATAAAAAATAGCAAATAATAAATAAAAAGGAAATAGTAAATAGTAGTAAATAGTAGTAATAGTAAATAGTAAATAAAAAGGAATCTGCAAATTATATTTCCACTGTTTTATAAATGTTGTTTATTAAACTAAGAAGACATAGTTTTCTATGGAGAAATCTTTAATGTTTATTTTATTTATTTGTACTTGTATTGTTATATCAAGCGAATTTCTTAGTTTAGAAGGCGATGATTGCAACTTGTATATTCTAGAGTTCCTGTGTTTTACATAGTCAGGGAGTAGTGACAAACAGGTAACGGTCTGAGATAGACTATGAACCAAAATTGAATGAGAAAAAAAAGAAGAGAAAAAAAACTGAAAATGACAAAACATAGACTTAATAAAGTAATGAGATATTTTTGATCTACTGTAAAATAATTAGCTTTTAAAAACTATAATTGCTATACTTGGTATTAACTTATATCAAGTTGTTTATGCAATTACATGTCATTTTAAGAGTTAATTTTCTGGAGGAGAAGTAATTTCTGCAAGAAAATTTTGCAAAAGAACTAAAAGTAAAGATACAATTATATTTTTACATTAAAGTAGTTCGATGTAGTTTACTTGACTTTAACGTGAACTATAAAAGCTAAAATTGAGAGAAAACTTTGCCGGATGTGGTAACTGACTTCGGTATCTTTCTTTTCCACCATCAAATTTGGAAAATTTTAAATCTGCTTATCGTAATTCTCCAATTGCGTTAAATATAGGGACTCTACTTCAAAAAAAATATATACATATACTTTTTTTATTGATTTTTTTATTATTTTTTTAATTAACTTATTTCTTTTTATTTCTGCTAGTTCTCTGAAAATGTTAAATCAGTTGTTCCATGTTTTGAAAATACACTTGTTCAAGCCACGGAAGGAAATCTCAGGGTAATTAATCATTTTACTAATTATCCGATTAAATAAAAAAAATAATAACAATAATACATCCATTCTATTTAGGAATTCCGTGAACTTTTGAAAGATTTGGACACGGTCAACATAGCTAATTTCACATTGGGATTAATTACTGCCTTTGAATTACTTCAAAAAGTAAGTTCTACAAGAAATTATTATTTCTTTTTTTCTTAAACACTCATAACTTATTCCTGCGAGCTATCATTTTATCTACATGTTAATTAAATCATTCAATAAATAATAATTTTAATATTTAAATGTGACTAACAAAAATTATTTCCGAAACTTTAATGAAATATAATTACCATAGTCTAATTTTTGACTTATCTAAGTGATTCCAGTTGCAAGCTGATTAAAACGAAAAAATACTTTCATAATTTCTGTGAAAAAAAAATGCTACAGTCTTGTTAGTAAGACAAAATAATCGCGATAATAATAATGAAAACGTTATAAGCACACTGCTATACCGTAATTGAAAGTTAAGATAAATGCAGACAAATCAAGCTTCATTAAAGTCGGACAGAATAAGCCAAAAGTACAAGCAACAGAAAAACTACACCCATTCTCGGAATAGTTAAAAAAAAAGTCAAGTAACTCGGAGTTACAATAACACACAATCTAAGCTGGAAAGAACGTATCGAGACTACTCTTCAAAAAGCACAAACCGCATATCAGTCACTGAAACCCACTGGTCTCCCGTCATCACTAAATCTTTACAACAAACGTCTGCTCTACATCATGTGCGTACGTCCGATCATCATTTACACCTCATTCTCATAGGTAACTATATCTTAAAAGCACAAAACTCAGAAGCAACTATAAAGGTGTAGAATACCCCTGCCGTTGGGCTAACTGTGGGAGGCTTTCGTGGTTTTCTTCTCCATGTAGTGCAAATGCGGATTAGTTCCATCAAAAATATCTCAACAAAGACTAGTTTACCCAACTGCATGAAACAGGAACTCCTTTATCTTCTATGTTAAATTCATAATTAAAAGTTTGCGGGGTTGAACATTGATGGTCATAAATCCAAAAATAGGTCATATTTTAAGCTTCGGTAATGAAATAAATATTTGTAAATAAAATGAATTTCAGCAATTTTTCTGTTCGACTATCTAAAAAAGAGATAGTTCAAAAAACTGCCAGTTACGAAAGAATCTGTTATAAAGTAACTCTGTCGTTTATAAAGCAAAGAGCATTTTAAATAAAACACAAATAAAATACAGAAATACAACTACTAATAATAAAATTTTGGTGTTAAAACACTGAAAAAGGCTCTTGTAATAGAAAAGAAACATAGTACATTTATCCATTTCTGTATTTTATTTGTGCTTTATTCACGTAGCACAAAATATACCCACCCTCCTTTTGAATCTGTAGTTTATGTTAACTATTAATTAAATAGTATTATTTTCAGAAATGTTTTTAAAATTTTAGGTTGCAAAGAGCAACGAAGGTAGCAATTGCAATCAAGCTATAATGCTTATTACGGATGGTGCTCCACAAACATATGAAATAATATTTGCTCAATATAATTGGCCAAATATACCAGTAGGATTTGTTTTCTTCCTATTAATATTTCTTTTGAGTGTTTTAAATGCTTTTAATGATAAATATTTTTTTCTTTTAATAGGTGAGAGTATTTACTTATTTAATTGGAAGGGAAGTCACTGACATGGATGAAGTACAATGGATGGCTTGTCAGAATCGAGGTTAAAATCAATCTATTTTATGTCGCTGTGGAATTTATACGTAGTCGCCTAATGAACTGAATAAAATTTTATTTGACCTTTCGAACTGATATATATATCTATATATATATATAAATGGGTCAAACTACACTTG